TTTTTGTTATTTCTATTAATATTATTACTATTATTATTATCATTATTATTACTATGGTTGTTGTTACTGTTGTTGTTATTAATATTACCATACGGAGCCGTCAACTACTGCAAAGCGTGGAAATTACGTCGCTCTCAACAAGAACTGGATGAAACTGGTACCGGTACCCCAAGAGCTTGGTGAGTGAAGTTCCATGACGGGAATCCCAACTACAAAACGAAGCGGGGAGAAATAATGCGTGCCCTTAACAAACAAAAAAACCCAAAAAAGAAAAACGATAACGTAATAAATGACAAAGTGGTTACAAAATAAATTATTCACTGGTTTGTTTGTCTTTTTCAACACTAATACTGAGACATTCATTTAACCCAACAAAACAAGATGGAATACTCTCAGATCTCGGGCGAACAAGTACGTAGTAGGAAATGTTGGAAAAAGGTCGATTTTTTAATAATAATTACAACACGGAAACGGAAACTGAAGACAGAACACCGAAGCATAATATTGGAATAAAGGAGTCTTTTACGAGTGTATGTGATACATGATATACCGTTATCCAAGTGAGATTATAAATCTCTGGTCTGCTAGACAGACCTGTCAATTGTCATTTGCATAAAAAGAAAGTACAGACAAGATTAGATGAGGAGGTGTGGGGGTGTGGGGGTTTAAGGGGTGTGGGGGTAAGGGGAGGGGGGGGAGTTTGAATCCCAAGGTATGATAATGTGGTCGGTTTTGGCTTCTTGATCTGGAAGTCCACTTCGCGCGGGTTCAAACCCCAAAGTCGAAATACGTAAATGAAAGCATTACATTGAAAACGTGTCAAATAAATAACGGGTTTACACGGTTTTATCATCGGAGTATAGTTACAACAACACACACACACATAGGCTTTTACACCATGAAGTAAGATGATCACATTCTGAGTCCACACAGAATTGACAGACAGACAGACAGACAGACAGACAGACAGACAGACAGACAGACAGACAGACAGACAGACAGACAGGACAACAAAGCACTGACGGACACACTTCATGTTACGGTAAGGTCACCAATAATATGATGGTAGAAGAACAAGTATTCGTCCAGGCTTGGGAGCTGGCTACCTGAGGTCTTAAGGTTTCCTTTTTTGGAAATTTTACAGTACGCACTGTATACAATTTATATAATAATGCATTTAGTTACAACAATGACAAAAGTGTGATATATACTATAATATATATAATATAATAAAAATGATAATAATTCAATGTTTTTTTCCACACCAAACTTCAAGTTCCACGAATGTGGGAAGCTAAAAATTTATACAAATGGTAATGAAGAAGAGCAAGACAATGCTCGCTCCGGGGAAGTCAAATGATTCGTAGAAGGGCAGGAAGGGGGGGGGGGAGTGGGGAAGGAAAGGGGGCAGGAACATGCAAAAACCGATACTTGCATTACTTATTATAATAATAATTTAAACGAAACAATTCAATCGTAAATAAATAGACAATTTCCGCATCAGACACCTGGCAATATACACAAGAACAATCATCTCGCTCCCTGGTAGGTATGCTCTTCAATGAGTCGAAAAATAGGATTCCCTCGGCTGGCTAGAGGAAAGGCAAGATGGTTTTTATGTCTCAGAGGGTCACGTGATAAGAAATGTCAAATATTTTAAGGAGGAGAAGTTTGACTCATCTCATATTATAATAATATGACAGATACTGGGAATGGGAGGGGGAGGGGGGGAGGGAACAGGGGATCTGGTAAAGTATGTAGAAGAGGAATATACTCATCAGTCACGGAATGGGAAGGAAGAAGGAAATATTTTTTTGTTATTATCAATCATTATCATAAATGTGTATTCCGTCTTGGCATATTCATTTAATACCAGGTGCCCATTGCCGATGGGATCGGGTCCAGGTCGGGTCGGGTCGATCGTCCGACTCGTCGTCTGAAAACAAACGCGTTTGTTTTTGAGACGACAAATTATTTGGGCGGTCGGTTTGTGCCACAATTGCCGCTTTGCGCCCTCAATCTGGCTAAAGAGGGTGGTTGGTGGGTGCTCTGATGTGGTTTGCTCCTTCTTTCCTATCAAACATCTATCGTCCTTACCTCTCCTCCTTTTTTTGTGTATATTACTCTCTTGGAACACATCTATTCTTCGGCACTTAAATGACTTTATTGTGTTGCAAGTGCCGTAAAAATCTTTGCCAAATTTGGCTAGCAAACAGACCCGACCCGACCCGATCGTGCCAACAGGCACCGGGCATGAGGGGTGTGAACACGATCTAATTTTATCCAAGCTGAAAGGCTCCAACATAACGCCATTCGATGTCGGAATCACATCGAAAAGTATGTCGCTCAGTGAGAAATCAACTGCGACTGACGTTATGGTAGGATATTCTACTTGAATAAAAGTATCGAGCCCATCAAATATGACTGGCGTCTGTGGTGTAGCAGTTAGGCTCTTCGCTGTCGCATGCAAGAGACCCGAGGTCAATTCCCCCGTGGGGAGGATTTTTCTATCGGACTTCTCCGTCTTTCTGCTGGTATGTTGTATCTCTCCCAGCAAGGGTTGGCTCTGACAGGCAGGATTGAAAACCTGTCTCTTAAATGACTTAAATTGTATCGAATGGGGCGTAAGAACACCTACATTTAAGTTCAAATAACCTGAATGATCGGATGTCCGAATAACACAGGCTTCCACGCCTGGATTAGTCTTAGCCATGACTTGTTTGTGTCTAGCGGGGCTTACTTCGCGAGGAAGTAAAACGGTCCGACATTTCAGAAATGCCGTTATTTCAGTTGATATCATGCTGGGGTACACTGCACGAGGCTCTAGTTTGGGTCCACAGCGGAGCGTTGTAATCCTTGGATTGTTTTCGCAGTTTGGCGGCTCTTCACTCATTTTGATCTGTCGCATGGGAAAAGGATATTCTATAATCATAGACAATCGTACTATGTTAAAAGAGGAGTAAAAACTCATACCATACCATATCAATCCAATAATCGCACGCATTGTAGACTCCATTTTGCTAAATTCTGTTCACAAACCAACGACTGCAGACTGGGCGGGAGATTGTGTGGCCATCTTGAAAGGGGCGGGTTCTACCGGGCTGGCGCTGATTGGCAGTTTGTAGTTCTGTAGGAGGAGCTCGTCCCTGTCACATGACTTTGATGGACTCTCGGGGCGGCTCCCCTCTGGGGCTGACAGGAGAGAGGCGGCGATACTCTTGTACATTGCGCTGCTGGAGGCGAGCGCCGCCGAATCCTCTTTGCTGAACCCTCCGGCCGGCATACTGGACGGCTCGGACACTCGAGGGACCGGTGCGGGTAGGTTGGAAGAGGAGAGGAAAGGTTTGGGAGATAGAGGCGCGCAGATAGCAGGAGGGCCGGCGGTTTCCCGCACAGACGTCCTCGGGTAAGCACCGGTCCGCCGGTGTCTGCTCTTGACGTGTCGCTGGAGGCGGAAGCTGAAGTGTGTCTTGAAGGGACAGGAAGGACATCGCAGTAGAAGCTTCTCGTAAGAGTTACGTACGGGGAGGTCTCGGCGAGCCCGGATGTGGACGTGCCTCACGTGAGCCATGGCCCAGGACTGACTCGGGAAGACGGCGGGGCAGTGGGAACACTTGAAAGACGTACCCGAGGAGGCGTCCACCTCCTTGATTTCCTTGACCGCCTCCTCGACGGTCAGACCGTGGCTGGTGACCAGGTGGGCGGACAGTGCGTTTGGTGACGTCAGAGACTGGTGACAACGGCTGCAAGAATAGCTTCCGCAGACCACCGCATCGCTAGCAATGCCGTGAGCGCATCGCTCGTGGTCAACAAGAGAAGACAACCAATGCGTGTCGAAGCCACAGCGCTGACACACGTACTTCTTCATGCGACCGTGCAGCGGAAACTTCTTGCGCAGACTCCAGTGTCCGCCATGTTCTCCGAACTTGAGAGTTTTCCCTTCGCCATTTGGCAGGCTCGGCTCCTCTGTGGGGATCTGAGGTTCCTCCGTGTTGAGGGTGACTCGAGCGTTGTGTTCCTGAATAAGATGAAGCTGGACAGAGAGCTCGGCGGGGAAGTCCAGACCACACACCTGGCAGGTGTAGACAGGTGAGGAGTTCTTGGCCCTCATGTCCAGCGCCTCCGACTCGCTGTGGTCCTTGACGATGTGATCCTTCAGCCATTTGAGATTCTTGAACCTTCTATTGCAAATGTTACAAGTTTCGCTCTGTTCTGTGTTATTGTTGAGCGGAGCCTCTTCTTTCCCTTTCCCGTAGCCCGCCTTACTCAGGGCGTACTTCTCGTTCAGCCGGTCTGTGGGAGGTAGAGGGATCATCTGTGGCAAACTGAACGGGTCCAACTTCAAAGGTTTCTCGTCCGCGAGGCTGGACGCATTCGACGCTGTGTCACAATCCGAGGCCACTGGCGAGCCGTTCATGCTCACATTGGGAGACTGAGAGGTAGGCTGTATCCCGTGCTTCTTCAGCTTGTGGGTACGAAGGAAATATTTATTACAAACTTCCTTGTTGCAGATATCGCAGATGACGCGAGATGAGTTGACTGGCTCCTTCCATCGCCACGAGCTCTTCTCAAAGCCGTCCTTGCCCTTGCCGTTACTATTGCTCACGTTGGGCTTGAGGGGAGACATGGACATCTTCTCGCTGTCAGTGCTCTTCGAGAAGGAAGACGTGGAAGTTTCTGTCTTGATGCCGTGAATGTTTTGCTTGTGGGTTCTCAAGAAGTATTTGCTGCAGAACTCTTTCTTGCAAATGTCACAGTATGCTTCGGGGTCAAAGTTCAGTTTGACGTTGTCTTCGCCGGGTAGTTTGCCTAGAGTAGGGAGACCGAAGAAGTTCAAGTCCATGTGTCTAACGGGGTTCTGGGACCGAGCAAACAGTTCATTATTGATTGTATCTGTCAGAAAAGAGGGCATGTCTCTAAAGCTCTTGAAGTCCCTTCCAAAGTCCGCGAAAGGCGGCATGTCTTTGAAGTCCATCTTCGGGGGTAGAAATGGAAGCATGTGTGGCTTACCCGGAGTGTGAGGTGTGAGGTTGAGAGGCTGACTAGGTGAAGAGATAGGTAGGCTGCCTGAGGATGGGGGAGTCTTGGGTTTGGAGATGGGTGCCACAGGAGACACAAGACCTCTTTTTTCGTATTTCTCGTTCGTGGTGGGGTCGATGCCGTGAATATTGAACTTGTGAAGACGTAGGAAGTATTGGTTGGTCATCTCTTTGTTACAGATTTCACAGACTGCGCTTTCCGGAAGTTTTCCTACCGGAGGTACGCCAAAACTGGAAGCGTAGCCAACTGCAGAAGCATCAGCTGCCATCCTCATAAGAGATTCGTTCATGCTCCTCATCGCGTCCTCTTTGTTGGGGAGTTCTCCATTCTCGATCAGTGTGGGGTCTATCATCTCGTTTAACCCATGGTCGTGGATTCTGTGGATTCTGTAGAGATACTTGTTAGTGAAATCTTTGTTGCATAAGTTGCAAACCATCAGAGGTCCCTCCAGGCCCGATGTATGACTCTGTGGGGACCGTGACGGGATATGTGGTGACATTTCGTTCTTCAGAGCGCTAGACAGTGGTGGGGGGCTGGAGCGGCTGCCCTCGTTTTTGCCGCCTCCTTCCCTGTCCTTTACAAGAGACAAAGCTTTCTCTCTGTTTAGATCTTCGCTTCCTCGCTTTATGCCGTGTTTGCTCTCTCTGTGAATTTGGAGATAAAAGTCATTGCAGAACTCCTTGGAACAGATGTTGCAGTGGACTCCGCCTTCTTGCTGCTGGGAGGGACTGGGTTTGTTGGGGGAATGCCTGCCAGGGCCACTTGCATTGGACATAGAGGACGGGGTTGGAGGGGCCGGGGGCAGGAGGGCGGAGTCTGGGAGCGGTGTGATGTTCATTGGTTGGGATATCATGGGGTGGGGAGGAGGAGGTAATTGCTGACCGGGCATGAGAGAGCCGGCTGGAATGATAGCAACAGGGGGTAGACTGTAAGGATTGATTACCATCACCCCTGGGGGCATGTTGGGCATGTTAGGCATGTTAGGCATATTGGGCAGGGCCGGCATGCCGGGTAGATTGGGCATCCCAGCTAGGCTCGCTAATGGCTGGGGGAGGATCATGTGGTTCGTTGACGTCATCGGGTGATCCAGCAGGGCGGACGACCTTGACCTTTTGTTGTTGCTGTTGGGAGGATTTTCCGGCGCGATGCCGTGTACGTCCTGCTTGTGTTTCTTGAGGTAATATTTGTTGCAGAAATGTTTCTGGCAGATGTGGCAGTAGTCCTCCATGCTGGGGTCGTTGGCTGGCGGAGCGTTGGAAGAACTCTTGATGCTGTTGGTGATGCTTGTAAGCATGGATGTCGCACTGGAACTGTTGGGAGGGTTGCTGGAAGGAATTGAACCCGGGCCTCTTCCATCTCCTCCCCCCATACCGCTGCTGCCACCGCCACCTCCGCTACTACTGCTTTTAGCAGACGGTAGTTTAGGGCTCTCCATATTTGGCATGGGCATAGGGAACATGGGGAGGGATGGGGGGTCTCCAAGTTTGAGACCCGGCGAGCTGTCCGGTTTTTTTGGCGGCTGTGACGAAGGGTCCAGCTTGAAGGACCAAGGTAGGATCGGGTCAGAAGAGGGGGGTGGTTTCATGGAATCCATCTTGAAGTTAAAGGAGGCCAGCGGGTCCTGGGGCATCATAAGTCCGGGGAAGGGTAAAGGTACGCTGCTGGCAGGCGGGGAGTTGTCCTCATAGATCCCATGTTTGTTGGCTTTGTGCGTTTTAAGGAAGTACTTATTGCAAAACTCGCGATCACATAGCTCACAGTAAGCGTCCATGTGGAAAATTCTCTCCGACTTGTTGCCGCCTTGCTCAACTACCCCCTCCTTTCCGCCGCCGATATTGTTTTTAGACGGTGGTGGTGGGGGTAGGAGGGAGGGAGGGGGTTGTTCAGGGTACGGGTTACCTTCCTCTTGTGTCCGGGAGTCCGGCCTCATTTTGGGCGGGCCTGGATACGGTCCTGGAGTTTCTCTGGGAGAAGGTGTGGAGTCCACCGGCGCTGACCCGGCTGGGGATGGTTCCTTCTCCAAGTGACCGTTGGTCAAAGGAATCTCCGCCGTGCTCTCAAAGAGCTCCCTGCCCAAGCGGTGATAGGCTGTGGGGAAGTCTTCGGGAGGTTGGGTCTCCATCCGGGGCTTTTTCATCTCGGGGCCGTGGTCCTCCTGGCGATGCAACTCAAGTTCCCGCGACACGTGCATGTCGAGAGGAGCGTCGTAATCGTCCGCTTGACCGTTGGTCAGATGTGGGGGCGCGCGCGGGAGAGAGTGTAGCGACTCGCCGTCGGAGTTATCGTGTCCACCGCTGGCTACGTCATCACTGACGTCATTGTCCTCCGGCCCGCCGGGGCCAGGGGGGTAGGCGTCCACGACTGTGCTGTCGGGGTCAACCAGGCGGGTCACGCCCTGCTCGGGGTCACGTGTTCCCGCCGCCACTCGGTTTGGGTTCGTCTGTTTCCGCCGACTTGACTTCATGTTGGCAAATACTGAAGATCTGCTAACAGGGGAGCTCTCACTTCTTTAGAGTCTTCATGGGTGATGTCTACAACCCAACGTTTTTACAGCAACTTATGGAGATGAAAATGAAGATGACGAAGATAACACAGATGTCGTATCAAATTAGACAATAAGATGAGGACAAGCGATGCTACGGTGTACGTTGCTGTGGGTCACACAAATAAAGATGACGACTGGGACGATGAGAATGGTCTGAAGAAATCTGGCGCTCCTAGCGTAAGGAGAACGATGTGGTGCACAAAAAATGTTGTAACAAACAACGCTACAGGGAACCAGTCACACGTGCACGTCGGAGACTTCTGAAAAAAACAGAAAATTAACATTGATTAGTAATGATAGCAATACAGAAAGAACTTTGAAAATAAGGATATCAATAGGAAAGACGGGTTTCAAATAATAATAATAATAATAATAATAATAATAATAATAATATCAATTTTTTTAAATACATTACCTTTGAGAATAACAATACAGAAAAACAAGTTTGATTAATAAGGATGACAAAACAGAAAGATAACTTTAACAAGTATAGAAATATAGAAATATGACTCTAATTGATAAGAATAACCAAACCGATGGGTGATTTTAATTAATAACGAAAATAAAACAGAAAGATAACTTTTAATTTACAAGGATAAGAATACAGAGAAAGATAACTTTAATTGATCACAATCAAAACGTAGAGATATAACTTCAATCAAAAATGATAAAAATGCAGAAAGATAACCTTATCTCAAGAAGGACAAAATAAGGGATATAATATAATAACGTTAATTAATATGGATTTCAATAAGAATACAGACATTTATAATTAAGGATCATGCGTGCAACGTCTGTATTTTACTGGCACAAGGGACCATAATAAACCAAATTGTGCGTGCGTGCGCTTGTGTGTCTGCACACGCGTATGTCCAGTCGAGTATAATTGCACCCCAGACAGTAGCACACAGTAGTATGTCTCTTCCTCGGATCTTACAGCGCCAAAAAAAAGTGAATATTAAACCCACAATCACGACAGGAAGTGTAAGTAGAAAACGACAAAGTGAACATTTCGAGAGAAGAATTTTTGGTAAAGAAAAATAATCAATTACGGAATAGAACAAAGAGGAAAACATGAAAACAACAAGAAAAAAGAGACAGGTGGCGAAATTCATATACATGTA